GTAACACTTTACGGCTGGTGTATCGATCATCCTGTTTCTTTGCGTTCGATGCGTCGGTAGCATCAATAGCACGTGCTTTTCAAGCTTCGGTATACGTGTCTTTTCACGTATGGCTTCGCGTTCCTGACCCTAAATAATGTTTTACTCTGCTCACTCTACCCAATTTCTGTTAACTGGCTTACATCAAGTTTGCTTAGAAAGAATTGAATACTAGAATTTTAAGCTGTCTATTATCACTTAATTCGCCAATTGAAGAGGATTAAAAAGTAGGGAAACCTGCTCAAAATACATCTAAATTTCCAACTAGTACATTTGTTTTCAATTAAAACTATTAAATCCTTCTTAAAACTATTTCTGTCGAACTATCACTTCGTCCCTTAAAACAACACAATGTTTTATTTACAAAGAGATTAACAAGATTTATAAAATATTTAAAAAGTGGGCAAATATTTAAAATAACAACACGGAAGAAAAACAACGAGGTCAAAACATGATAGGGCAACATCATGTTTCCCTTCTTTTTATAGAATTTTTTAAAAATTCAATACACTATCAACCGGTCTCTCATATTGTTAAAATTCTTTTCTCTTTTTTTTTTAATTAAATAAATATTGCTACAAACTCTGACTGTTTCAAAAATATTGATGCCTAGCCAAGATTCCTAGTTTCTTCGAAAAATCAGCACAACATAATAATGACCAATATATAATATTAATATAAATTTCAAAGAATCATTAAAAAGCGTGGAAAACACGGGATCTGTTAATTTTGAAAAATTTCGTCGGTCGTTCCATTAATAATTGACAGCACCAACACACGAAAACTCACTGGAGCATTTTCAGAGATCTCCATTTTGTATTTGAACGATGAAAGTCGTTTCAGAATCGTTCACACACCTCATTTTGGCAAGTAACAAGGAGGGGATGGAGCACCCTCTTACGTCACACTCAAGTATATATGTTCAACCACAGTTAACACCATTTCACTGAATCATGTACAGGGTGTCCTTGAGAAAGATGGTCTCCTTAAACGCAGCTAAGTAGTTTTATTATTATTAAATTGCTACATTCCATTTTTATTATTATTAAATTGCTACATTTTAAGACGCTTTCTCAACAAGATGAACGTTCAAAAAATTTTTGAATTCCAGAGCCCATGATTTTTATAAATTTTTATTGAATGATAAAACTGATGAAACCGTTTTGGAAAATACGTGGACTTTACTTTGAGGGTAGCGAAGCGGGTTTTACTAAAAATGCAGAAAGCAACGGGAAATAATTTTAGTACAGTGACCTTCCACAATGTTTAACGAGCCGTTAACACAGGATGAAAAGGGTGCTCGTTGATATATCATAAAGCGTGAAAAAAAAAGCGACCATTGAAGTTTCAATCGTTAGTTTTCGTTGGCACGAGAGAAATTTAAAAAAGTTTTCGCATCGATTTTTAGTTCGCAATGCATTTTTTTTAATGCACTTTCTGAAGTGCATTCACAGAAATGTGCTTGAATATTGATTACACAGTTCGTGATTCATTTTGCAAAAATTTTAGATTAGAAACGTTCTGTTTCTACGAATGAGTACTATTTCATTTTATTATCTCGAGAAATATTTAACCGAAACATTGGATAATAATCTCGAGAAATATACTGGAATATCCTGTCCAGTTTCCAAAATCATTAAAATCGGAGACAGAACGTATTTATTGGAATAAATCCTATTAAATGGTATTTTTCAGATAATCCCGTCTAACTGACAAGTCGAGATTTCCCTCGGATGCATCATCCTCGGATAATAATATAGCCGCATTGTCGTGCATCGACATACGGGGATCAAACGTATTCGTTTCGTGAAGATTATCAGCATCGCATAAAATTGCATTTGCGGGATTACCGGCATCGAAAGCGCGAACCTAAACGGAAATTCATGATTACCGCGGTCGAACCGGGGGAGCCTTTTGAGGCTGCACGGATTTTTAGAGTCACGTAATGCTCCCATTCACGCGATTCATGGTGAGAATTAGAGTGGAGTTCATATGACACATGATGTGTATATATATATATATATATATATATATATATGTGTGTGTGTGTGTACCTTTGTGGCATGCTCTTTTAAGTATCATCAATGATACTTGTTAATCAAAGTTGGAAACATTAAGCAGAGATAACGTTCAGGAATTCCCATTGTGAATATATCGCATGGCAAATTGCCATTAGAAATTTTCTTTTTAGCAAAAGACAGAAATTATGATTAGAAAATTCTTCATTTCCCAAGTCACAAATTTCGTTATTAATATCTACTATACGAAATTTTTCTATTTTTTAACAGAAGTTATATTTTTCAATTTTCTCTCTATAGAGGACTAAAGATAAAGACTAGAGTAATATCCTTTTAATTAACAGATAAGGTTAGAAGTATCAGTGTGGAAAAATCGTTTAAAAATAAATTATACTCTTTCTAATAACTTTTACATGCTGTTAATCACTAATTTAATCTTTTCGGTCACAAACTTTATGTTATCAGAAAAATTGAAAATTAATAAATACAAACTAATATTATTCACAGTTGACCAAGGTTTAGCACCTGTAAATATAATCCATTCTTAACAAAAATGAATAATTCAAAGAAAATATAAACGTTATCCTCTTGAATCAAACCGTTTAAATAGATAGATCCAACTATAGGAAATAAAATAGAGAGCCTAGTTATTAGTTATCAGATATAGACTATCTGTTTTAACGAGATACTAGCAGCATGATTAAATATAATAGTTTCTATATGAATCGAGCAGTTCTTTGATAATTCCTGCCTCAAATCCTCTGAGAATTATTTGCAAAATAAATTTTTCAATATTGTTACAATTATAATGCTTAAAACCATTTGGTTATCACTCTGCTTAAAATCTATGTAGGTAACCTTCTAGCTATTTCTAGCAATGCGAAGAAAGAAAACACGAGGGGAATCCACTGATCGTCGATCCCGATATAAAGGTGAATCATTTGCCTGAAAGGTCGACTGAACGTATCTCGGGGGTCAAAGGGTGAAGAAACTCGATCATTTGAACACTATGGTCGGCGTAGGATTGATGCTAGATGCAACGTTTGAATTCCATTCGAACCGCACTGGCATCGCTAAAATTTGCCCCGAAAATGCAATGCCCTTAGGCGATGACAATGCGCTCTCTCGTGTAGTCTCCACGCGATTACAGAGTCCCCACTCTGATCCAAACCCTTCCACCCCAGCCGCCACTTCACTGCCTAAATCTCGAATAGTCGACACGAGGAGATCGGCATCGAACACGATGCACAATATGGCTATTTGCGTTAAAAATGCAGTCAAAAGTTGGCTTTGAAAGTTACGAAATTTTCATTAGTAAGAAAGAGACATATTCGTGATCCTCTCTTGTCGATGAAAGTAAGCAATCGACTCGTTTAACCTCTTGCGCCGGAATGACGTGCCATACACGTCGAGAATTTTTGGTCCCAAATTGTAACATTTTCTCAGTTTTAAGTATACTTAAACGTAACCCAGGCAAAACGAATGATAAGTCTGTTAATTCTTAATAATTTCTATCCAGTGATGTCATGCCGACGAGTTCAAAAGAAAAAGAAAGCGACGAATTATTGTATACGGTTCGGTCACTCGTTATGGTCCGCGAACCAG